CTTTGGGCTGAGCACGAGGTGGCTGGCTAATACAAGTTGTGTCATTTGAGTCTGTAAGTGACCTGAGGAAAAAATGAAATGTTTTGAAAATAAATCTCCCACATTTTTACAGGTTGAAAAAAGGAACGTGTTTAAGGAAATTATCTTCAGGCCCCACGTGTTCAAACGGGAGCAGAATGGTTTTCCTGGTTTCAGTGCAAGCAGGGCTGGGCAGTGAGCCATGGGAAAGCTCCCATGGAATGCTGTGCAGCCCCTCAGGCAGGTGCTGCAGCAGGGGCTGGGGCTCAGCTCCATCCCTGCAGCCTCTCAGCTGCACAGCAGGAGCAAACTGGCTCAGCACTGGGCAAACTGGGGCTGCTCCTGCCTGCCTAGAGCCTGTCCTGGGCTGAACCAGGCTCAGTTCCTGCTCTGAGATTTCATGTCCTGGATCAGTGCTCTTAGGAGCTGCATCTCTCAGGGCACATTGTCCAGGCCTCTCCCCAGGCTGGGAGCCTTGTCCTTCTGCTCCCCATCCAGCAGGCTCCACCAGGGCATCTCACACCTGACTGTGGCCTTCCAGTACCCAAAGGAGCCCACAAGAAAGATGGAGAGGGGCTCTGGACAAGGGCCTGGAGTGACAGGACAAGGGGGAATGGCTTCAAACTGCCAGAGCTCACCTCTTTCCAGCCCCCCTGCCTTGGGCAGGGACACCTTCCACTAGCCCAGGTTGCTCCAAGCCCCATCCAGCATAGCCTGGAATGCTTCCAGGGATGGGGCAGCCACAGCCCCTCTGAGCACCCTGTGGCAGTGTCACACCACCCTCAGAGGAAAGAACTTCTTCCTGATATCCCATCTAACCCTGTCCTCTGTCAGTATGAATAAAGGCATTGCCCCTTGTCCTGTTGCTCCAGGACCCTGCCCAAAGTCCCTCTCCATCTCTCCAGCCAGTTCCCTTCAGCTACTTGGAGGTCACAATTAGCTCACCCCAAAACCTTCTCTTCTCCAGGTGAACAATCCCAGTTCCTGTATCCTTTCCTGATGACCACAAAGTGCTCCCTGGAGGCATCACGCTCGTGCTGGGTCAGGCACAAGCAAGGAGTGGCAGCATCAACTCAGTGGCTGTCTTGTTTGGTCTTGTCTGGGTCCAAAGCACTTTCAGAGCCGCTCCAAAAGACCAGAGAGGTTCCCATGGGCCAGAACAGGCAGCCCTGGATATTTCCAAGAGAATCTGTTGGGTGTCACTGCCAGTGTTATTTAACTTGCTTAATGCCAATGTAAGATGCCAAGCAGAGCTGCACCTAAGGGCAGCTGCTTGGAGAAACCTGTGGTCCATCAGGACAACCTGCCCAGTCACAGTCTCCCTTCCCCTTTTCTCACTCCTCTTTAATATCTTCCAGACAAAGAAGCAAAGGATGTCACAATCTTTGCAGACTTTTCCTTGTTTTTCAGGGCTTTTTCTCTCAGTTGTGTGGTCTTTTGCTTCCCTCTGAGTTTCTGCACTGTTGAAATAGATCTCTCCATTAGGACAATGTGTACATGAGTTTCTCTCCCACACCTTCTCTTCTTGACTCTCAGAAGTCTCTTTCACAACCCCAGATTTGCCATCAGTTTGTCCCACATAACATTTTTGGGGGTTTGACATTGCTGCTGATTGCTCTGCTCTATTTCTTATGAAATTCTAATTCAAGCCTTTTGTTGCACACAACAAGGGGATAATTCCCTTCTGTTTCAGGGGGACTTCCAAGTCAATCTCCCCTTAGTTTTGTTCCAAGAGATTTGTGATAAAAGAAGAAGATTTCTCATAGAGGTCAACTTGTATTATCTTCTTTGTTATTTATGGGTCAATAACTGTAGTCTATAATTTTATTAATATCAGAGCATGGGAAAGGATTTGGTGCCCAGAGAAGAGGGTAGACCAGAGACACTGTGAACTCATTGAATAATCCCAGCCCTCAGCCACAATGCAGCCAAAATGCCCAGGGGTGAAGCTGCTCTGCTCTCCAGAGGGAAAGTCTTGTAGTCCCAAACGTGAATCCATTTTACATCCTGCAGCTGCCTCTGTCACCATTTCACAGACCTTGGATGCATTTATCTATCCTCAAAACACCTCTAAGATGTGAGCAAGGACCATCATCCCCAGATGGTCTTTACCAGATAGTCAGGGGAACAGAAGAGATTGCTTCAAGGTCCTTGAAGACAACAGTGGAGAGGTGGACCATGTGGAGCTTCTTCCATCTTTCTTCATTAACACTAACATCTTTAATTGTCCTGTGAGGCTCACTGAGTCCAAGGTCTCTCCTTTGTGTGTGGATGTTCTGCCCCCGTTTTCACACACAGAAGTGGCACTGGACTGCCCTCTGTGCCAAACTTCAGCTTCTGAGTCTCTGGGACATCACATTCTCCTGCTGCTCGGCCTGAAAACCTGGGGTCAAGCAAAGGTGAGTGAACAGCTCAACAGCTGAATGATGAAACATCAAATTCTCTGCAGGTTTGGTGATTATTTCAATCTAAATGTTGTGCTGTGGGGAATTAGCACTCGACAGCATTTGAAGGAAGAAACAAAGCATGAAGACACCTAAACAATCCTAATTTTGTCCTCTATTCTTCCTGATTGGTAATTATGTTATCATGAGTTAAGTATATTGTTGTCATCCCAGATTATCCTACTTAGATTTTGAGTTGTTAGCGACAAAAGCCTCATCTTACCCTAATAATAACCTCTTTTCCCCAAATATAACCTGTATGTAAAAGTTCATGAATTTCAACTGTGTAGAGGTTTGTTAAGCCTTCGTAATTCCCTTGCAAATATCACCCAGAAGAAAGAAAAAGTTATAAAATTGGCCTAATTTCTTACAGAAATTCCTTCTAATCCTTATAATTCATAAAGTAATGGATTTTCTTTTAATCTTTTGAGAATAATTCTGGGCAGAAGTACCCTTTCATACTAACTAAAAGCTAGCTCACTTTTGGAAGGGAGAGAGCAAGCAGCCATTCCCGGGGATCCATGCTGAGTGCCTTGGCTTCACTGCCCATCCCAGAAACTCAGCTACAATCCCACCTGCACAGACTGATCCCAACTGTAACCTCAGAAACATTAAAAGGGCTGCCAAGTTAATTGCATCTGTGGCCAGTGTTCAGCTGGTGTTGCTGAGCGTGGGCAAGAGAGAAATTGGTGTCCAGGCTGACCTTCCCCAGGAGATTGCCTCGAATGTCAGTCCAGTGTCCCAGAAACACTGCACAGCACTTGGGGTCCCTTCACAGAGGCCACAACCAGGGTGTTAAGTCCTCAACCATGAGAGATCTCCAGCTTTATCTCATTTGGCATCTTCTTCCAGTGCATGATGAACCAAGCCCTGAGAAGAGCTCCCCAGGCTAGCTATAAATTTTCAAACCTCAGTTATAAGTAATGTCTTTGACTCCTGTTTTTCAGCCTTGCGTACTCCCTCCTTGTTTGAATGTCTGCTCCTACAAAGGGTCATCCAAAATGGAAGATTTCTCCCTTTGGGCCAGGCTGTCCCACCCCACGTGGCCTCAGAAATGGTCACCATGGGTTTGGCAGTTCCCTCCATCTCAACAAGGCTCCCAGCACAGCAGCTACTCCCAGTGCTTCCATTTATTGCCCTGTGCTGTTGTTCCATGAGCAACTGGGTCAGCTTGGCCTGTCTAGCCTGGCCCAATCTGCCAGCTCAGTCTGGCTTCCTTATATTTGCAAATCCTTTCTCTCCCATGGGCTGGGTTTGCAAGCCTAAGTTTTGGCTAGATACATTCAGATCATATCTCAAAAATGGATACAAACTAAAAACCTGCTTTTGTGGGAACCAGGGGTTTTATTCCAACTGGGCCACCAGGTGAGCAACACCCTTATTCAAGATTTTTTACTCATTAATTCTCAAGGAAAGGCGTTGTTCCATGAGCAACTGGGTCAGCTTGGCCTGTCTAGCCTGGCCCAATCTGCCAGCTCAGTCTGGCTTCCTTATATTTGCAAATCCTTTCTCTCCCATGGGCTGGGTTTGCAAGCCTAAGTTTTGGCTAGATACATTCAGATCATATCTCAAAAAATGGGTATAAACTAAAAACCTGCTTTTGTGAGAACCAGGGGTTTTATTCCAACTGGGCCACCAGGTGAGCAACACCCTTATTCAAGATTTTTTGCTCATTAATTCTCAAGGAAAGGTTTCTTTATTTCTTTTTTTTTTTAAGTGCATTGTTGCATTACAAAAATTTCTTAGAGTCATAGGGCTGGCATGTGGGGAGCAGAACTGAATCTGCTTCTTAGCCCTTATCAGAAAAGGCTCCGAAGTGTGCCAGGATGGGTTCACAAATGGTTTAAGCCCCTCTAATTGTCCATTTCTCTGATAGATTTAAGTTCTTTTGAAGAGTTTGCAAACTGTCAGTTTAAAAGCCATAATTTGGAAGGTTTCCCTTCCTGCTCCCAGTAGGAGGGACAAGGTGAGAGGCCGTGCTGGGAGAACTGAGGGGTCCCCATCCCTCACCCCAGTGAACACAGCCATGATTTTCCTGCCTGCTGCTGCATGGCCCTCTTCTCTCGAGTCCTGGCTGTGCAGGTGGTGAAGAGTTGGACAAATCCATGTGCAGAAATACCTTGGTGTGAGCCACAGGCCTTGAGACCCATTGGCAACGATTGTGCTGTGCTGATATGAGCTCCCTGTGTAGGCAGCTCCCTGTGTTTGTCCATGCTGTTTTCTTCCTCAGAGAATAAACCCCAGCTAATCATCCTTCTGCCCCCTCTGTGTCGTGCTGGACCAGCTCTGCAGGTGGCAGAGGGCTGCTTGCCACCATGGGCTGGGTTGGAGCTCAAATCCTCTGGGGGTCTCGGGGTGCTCCAGCGCTGCACAACAACCCCAGGCAGGGCTGGCAGGGAACATCTGCCTGCTGCAGCTGGGGCTGCTGTCTTCAGCCGTGGGAAACCTGCACCCACATGTTCAGGGAAAGCAGCAAGGGAAAGAAAACACATGCTGGGTTGGAAAACACTGAGGGGGAAAAGGTGGAATAACCACTGCACAGCCTTGCAGGCGTCGCTCCTGCACCAAAACCTGCCGCTGCTCCCCAGCCGGCAGCGTTGCTAAGTGACAGCTGATTTACCACATCACTCACCATCCAGCAGGCAGCAGGAAACCAGGCAAGAGCTACAGACAGGGCTGCCCAGACCTCATCCTCACCGTGGCCTGGCAGTGCTGGCCAGATCTTGTCCCCACCACGGCCAGGCAGTGCGTAACCCACGTCTGGACAGGTGAGCTTGATCTTTCACTGGTGTTTAAGGTCAAACCCTGGAGTGAAACAAAGCAGGCAGAGGGATTCAGCTGCATGGCAGGAGCTGTCAGGACCAGTGGGATGTGTTTGGCATCACCAGGCAGTGGGAGAACTTGGCCACTGGCAGTTTTGTCCACTTGTGCCTTCTGCAAGAGCAGCACTTAATGCTCCTACAGCTGCAGGCTGTATAAGCTGCAGAAGGGAAAACATGCTCCCCTGCAAAATTTCCTGTGCAAAATTAGCAGGGAATGGGGTCAGGATTAACGAAAAATTCAGCTGTCTCACCTCAACTTCAGCCTCTTCTGTATAAAAGGAATCAGTGAAGAATCTTCTCATAAAGGGCACATCCCCATAATTCATATCAGGGCAGTTGTACCACCCCAAGGAAAGGGGGTAGGACACCATCCTTAGTGGGAGTGTGCAGGAGAGGAGCACCCATTTCCCTGCTGGCAACACCTGTGGTTTGAAAGGCAGAGTTATGCTGTGCACAACACCAGTGGTAAACTGCAGAGACACTTCTTTTTCCTAAAGCCATGAGGGTCTCCTTTTCAGGGTAAGCTTGGAGGAGCAGCAGAGGAAGAAGCCCAACACAACCCCAAAATCTAATCCCACTGAATTATCATATGACCACACAGAGCCAGTAAGAACGGCAGAACAAGGGGGAGAGCACACTACCTGTCTCAGCATCTCTCTCCCTCAACACCAGCTTAGTCTGAATTAAAATTCAGGATAGAAATATAACCCCGGAGGTGTTACCCCACCCCTCTGCAGTGAGACAGACCACCCCTTGCTATCAGTGTGTGATTCTGAGAGTGTGAGAGCAGCCAGGGCCTCCACAACAAGGATTTAAGGGTTCCCTGAACAAGCAGATCCAGCATCATCTCAGGTTCGTTCCCTAGTGGTGTTGCTCCTTCATATCACTCAGCACCTGGCTGAGTATCCCAGCACCTGGCTGAGAGCATCATCTCAGGTTCGTTCCCTAGTGGTGTTGCTCCTTCATATCACTCAGGCTAATGAGTATCCCAGCACCTGGCTGAGCTGAGAGGGGAAAAGTTTTCAAGAAAAAGACTGTGAATAATTAATCTTAGCAGGACAAGAAGAAGCACAGCACAGTGCTGTGGGTAGGGCTAAAAGCCTCTGCCATGAGAAGGCAGAAATAAATGTCTGGGGAGTGTTCTCTTAAGGACACAGGAGGAAGACAGATGAAGGTAGCAAGGAGACCTCTTGGTGGTAAAAAACTCCCTGCTGAGAGGAAAATCTGTATGTAGGAGCCAGAAATAAAGCCAGGAGAGCCTTCGGGAAGGGGCTGAAGGCAGCTGCATGCAGCTCTTAGTGGCTGTAAGCAGAGAGGACTCTGCTGGCCCCTGCTCAGGGCAAGGAGCTTCTTTAGTGAAGAACAGCAATGCTGCAGTCCTGAAAATGAGGCATTTAGAGAATTAGACAGTTGCATAGTCTGGTACTAGTTTGCCTTGCAGTAAAGACTGCCTTTTGGTGAATGCATAGCATCTATTTGATGTTGGTCTCTTTCAGGCAATGAAATGGATGTGTTGGGTGAAGCTGAAGCCCCACAAGTTATTGTCCCTGTAGAACCCCAGAAAAGGGCTGCAGCAATGTTGTGCTGGGGCTGGAGCAGCTGGGAGATTTATGCAGGGACCACCTGAGCAGCAGGAGGAACACAGTGCTCATGAGCACTGAGCTGTGCATGTCGGTGGGGCTGGAAAAAACCTCTGAGGTCATCACGTCCAATGATGCAGGGACCACCTGAGCAGCAGGAGGAACACAGGTAGCTGCTCATGGGCACTGAGCTGTGCATGTCAGTGGGGCTGGGAAAAACCTCTGAGATCATCACGTCCAATCTGTGACTGATTGCCACCCTGTCAACTGCATCATGGCATTGAGTGCCATGTCCAGCATTTCCTTAAACACCTCCAGGGACGGTCACTCCACCACCTCTCTGGGCAGCCCATTCCAATGTCTAATCACCTTTTCTGTGAAGAAATTCCTCCTGTCTGTCGGGCTAGGACTGTTTCCTTGTCCTGCCGCTGGTTGCCTGGAGAAAATACTGACTCCCCACCGGGTTACACCCTCCTTTCAGGGAGTTGCAGGGCGTGATAAGGTCACCCTTCAGCCTCCTCATCTGCAGGCTAAACCTCCCGCTAGCTCTCCTCACTCCTGGGGATGCCAGCGTGTCCCTGCAGCGCCTCCGCCAGCGTGGGTGCCCTCAGAGGGGATGCGTGCCCATCCCGTGTGCCCTGTGCCGTGCACAGGGGGCACACGCGTGTGCAGGAGCCGAGGGGCGGCCCCGGCCCGGCTCCCGCAGCCGCGGCGCCGCCCCCGCAGCCGCCCGGCCCCGCTCCATCCTCCATCCTCCGCCCTCCTGCCTCCCGCAGCCGCACCGAGCCTCACACCGCGGCGGGGCCGGCCAGGGCCGCACCATGACCGAGACCACCAAGACCCACGTTATCCTGCTGGCCTGCGGCAGCTTCAACCCCATCACCAAGGGGCACATCCAGATGTTCGGTCAGTGGCCGCGGCGGCGGGAGGGAGGGAGGGAGGCCTGGGAGGGCGCTGGGGCTGCACCGCGGGGTGGGGACGTGGGGGTGTGGGATGTGAGGATTTTGGGGATATGGGGATATGGGGATGCGGGGCTCGGGGCGCGTTCGGCGCCGCTCCGCTCCCGGGCGCTGTCCGCGGCCGCTGGTGCTGAAGGCGCCGCGGGCGGGGACAGCCGCGGCCTCCCGAACCTGCTCCCCATCGCTGGCAGCCGTCCCCAGCCCTCTGGGGCTGTCCCCTCCCCTGGCAGGGGTCCCCTCTCTGCACTCACATTGTCACGCTGCCGCCCCGCAGCCCCCGGGCCCTCCTGGCGCTGTTTGTCCGCTGCTGCTCGCCCTCGGGTCTGCGAGACTGCAGCCGCTGCAGCACTTCCATTTCCTCTGACCAGGGAGGAGATAGAGCCAAGCAGCCACAGCCAGGTGCAAGAGTCAACAAAAATACGCTTAATGGAGATATTGGAGTGCTCAACCATTAGATTGATACTCGGTTGAAGGAACGGGAAACGTTTGTGTGAGACCATGGATACTGCCGAGCATCCCTGCGATGATACAGAGGATGGGGATGCTGGAATCGCTGCTACAGCCTGGCAAGACAAGAGGGAGGGAAGCAGCGAGAGAGGAAGGGCAGTCTCCATCAAAGGCGGTCTGACATGCCCGAGACACTGTTGGGTAAAGCTCAAAATGCCTGGAAATCCCAGTGCAAACAGTGGCTCGCTTGGCTGGGGAGGAGTCCTGGGAGGGTGAAGTGCCCACTGCAGACCACCTCGGAGTGCACAGACAGGATCCAGCCTTCTATTCAGCCCTTATGTCTGATAGGAGATGTAAGGCTGGGAAGCAGATACTGAAGGTCGTGTGATACCAGTGGAGGAGCATCCCTGGGGTTTCTAAAAGCTGCATATAAGTTTCTAAATATATAAACTATATAAAAATGCTTGAAATCAGCTGGGGGTATTTCTGCATCAGACCTTGTTTTTGTAGAACATAACGAGTTGCACATCAGGTTAGAAAAGGATGGTCTTCTAGATGCAAAGGATCACATTGTTATTCCATTTCATAAGTGCCAGAAAAATGTAGGCCTGGACATCAATATGCTTGAAAATTAAAATTTAAAAAATCCTATTCCCTAAGCAAAAAAAAATAATTGCCAACAAAGAGGAACTATTTAAAAATAAAAACAATTATTAAATTAAATTACAAGGACTTGGTTGATAGAAGCAACCAATGATGAAAAATATTTCTGTAATTCATATTTAGTCTTATTTTGATTAAGTAACAGTAAAGCTATTCATGTGGCCCTTATTCAGTGGACTAACAACAAGCAACAAAATGTATTTTAGAAAATAAGGATCAGTGAGATATTAGTATGCAGTGCATGTTCTTATAGACTGGCAGTAAGATTTTCTTTTTGCTCAGTACTCCTCAGTACCTTTATCAAAGATGTGAAAGAAAAGATATAATCCCCGATGGTAAAAAGTGGCCATGACCCCAAAGTGGGCAGAATAGCAATTCCTGCTGGTAATGAGTCAGTTGTGCTGCCTAACTCTGGTTGTTGGATAAAAAGGGCTTGTTCAACAGCAAAGTCAAAGACAAAGTCATATGTCCAGCAGGAAAGAACACACTTCAAATATAAACAAAAGGCAAATGTCTTCTGCCACACAGCAGTGGTGTCAAGGACTGAGGGGGATTGTGCACTACCCACTGAATGCAAACTCTGTGTGGTGCTGTAAATAAAGCAGCAAATGTGACCCTTGTAGATATCAGCAGGGGAATATCAAGCAGAAAAAGAAGAGTTGTATTATTTTCATGTACAGCATTAGCAAAACCCTTCTCTGAGGAACAGTGAGAAGAATTACATCAGTTTTGGAGGCCAGATTTTATGGCAGGAGACTAGGGAGTCTCAGTTTAGATCCATCTTTAAATATGTTAAGGGGTATCTTGATCTGCTTAGAGGAGGGATATGTGATATGTGATGAAAGTGGGGAACTTTGCTCAGCAGAACAAGTACGGGTGAGGTGCCAAGAGTGGATCACACAACCACCTCAAACTACAAATCTGTTGTGTGGGTTTGAGTGAAGGTAATCAAGCAGTATGAGAAAGTACCTGGGTGTCTGGTGCATTCTCTGTCACGTGAAGGCTGTAAATGAATACTCAGACATCTTTCAGGAAGAGAGGTTTTAGCTCAAATAAGGTGGTTTGATGTGGAATTTTTCTTTGTATGTGTCCTGTAGAGCTCCTGGAATACAATACTTGAGATACCTGATAGGGACAAATGAGACTTCCATGAGTAAAGGACACAGAATTTAGCTTCTAAATCCATCACCATTTTTGTTTGAGGAACACTTCTCCACAAGTCTAAAAGTGTAATCCTGTGAAGCTATAGAAATCTCAGCCAAAAGTCTGTGTTGCTCTTCTAGCTCTGCACCATAGAGTCCAACCAAAACAGTGCTCTATCCTGTAAATGATGCATTTCAAACAGCTGAATTCGGACAAAAATATTGTCATCATCATTCAGACAAATATTTGGGCTTTGAGAACCTAATAGGAGGATTTTTTGCTTAGCATAGAGAAAGACAATTTATCTCTTTAACAAATGGCACTAATTAAGCCAAAAGAAAGAACAATATTTGCTCAAGTATGTCACTGTAAACACACCATTTTATGTCAACCATCATTTTTCTCAGTGTGGATTTTACCATGTTTTATTCAGACCAAAACCCAACCTTTTCCCATAGGATTTTTGCCTGAATAGGGGATTAGTTAATTATGTGGAAGTCTCTTCTAGTGGGGGAAAGATTTCCATTGAGTTATTCTTTCCATCAGTCATATGAATTTAAGACTCATCATTGGGATTCCAGAAAGCTGGGATTCTTCTTACAACCCCAAATCTGCAACTGCATCCCACCACTGAACCTTGTGAGCAGCTGAACTCGCTGCAACAGAGCTCCCTGCTTCATCTGCCAGTTAAAATTCTGCATCACTGGGGCTCCCCAAATCGTATCTGTGTACACAAAATTAATATCATACATATAAATTAATACTTTGCCTAAGATATATGACATATAACAGAAAAGTAGGTGAGACACAGTCATGTACAGCCATCCCTACCAAGGGGTTGAGACAAACACCCACATAGTCCTGAGAACACTCTGAGTTATTTGTGGTATCAGCTGTGCTTTGAGAGGTGTTCTGAATCACAATTTTCAGTTGTATTTTCTAGCTTTATGGGGCTATGAGAAAAAGTTTGGGGTGTTACTGTGGTGGGGAGGAAAGACAGAAGGACAGAGAGAGCAAAGGTTGTTTCCAAAGCTTGACACAAACATTGGTGGCCTTTAACCCAAAATTAAACCTCATTTATAGCCTAAGGAGGTATGGAAAAGAAAAAGCAGAGCCAAATAAAAAAAAAAATCTTAATAATAGAAGAAAAGTAAAATTCTGAACCAAGTCCTGCATTAAAGCCACATAAAACCCCCACCAGTGTTGGATGCAGGGAGCCCACCTGCTCACCTCAGCCAGCACACACCAGCCCCAAGCTGCTCCCTTCCATTCCTTGCTGCCATCAGAGGAGCACTGAGCATGGGCTGCTGCTTTTCCCTGCAGCCAGCTCAGGAGGGAACCCCTGAGACATCCCCACGCTGCCTTTGGGTCTCAGCACGAAGCCCTGGGGCACGCTGAGCTGCTCTCCAAAGTGCATCTTCTCCATCTTGGCCTCCTCTCCCCTTCCCATGCAAGCAATGCCACCCAAAGGACAAAAGCCAAGGCACCAACGTCAAAAGCAAAACCTAATCCATGCAGCCCTCCCAACACAGCCCATGCTGGCACTCTGCCAGACAACGAGCTCGTGCTTGCTTTGACAATTAAATCACTTCCCCCTGTGGCCCCAGCTCAGGGAGCCCTAGTACAACCGTGCAGATCTTGAAAACCAAAAGGCAGCTCTGTAGAGCAAGGCAGAAAGCAAATTTGCAATCAAAAAATATAGTTCATTTTGAAGATGGTCTTGGGTAAAATGCTGGGATGAAAGGCACTACCAGACAAGATCAGGGGCTCCAGGTTCTCTGTCGTGGTGTTTCAGAGTTGGAGACAGCCAAAAAATAGCCAGATTTGGAAGGAAGGTGCTGAGAGTAGTTTCTTTGTAGGTTCTGCAGTGGAAAGGGCTTGTACTGTCCTGTGGATATGTGAGAATTGGAGGATTGTTGATGATTTCTTCAAACCAAAATGAGGGTTTTGGTGGACTAAAATGGCATCTGGTTGATCAACATGCTGTGTTTTAATACTGATTTTTTTTCCTCTATTTTCTTTAATTAATTATTCTTCAATTGTAGAAGAAAAGGCCCCTCTGGAATTGCCCACACCCCCTATTTTGGCACTTTAGACAATTTTTTTTGCCTTTTTAAAGTTCTGAAATTCCTCACAATCCATTCTTTTCATGTGCAAACTTCTGTCTTCATTCATTCACAAAGCCTTGCTCATCAACCACAGTTTTATTTCTGCCCAGCTCTAAGAACAGCTTCCTCTCCAGGGACTGGATGACCCCTTGATTCCCCTTTCCACCTCTGCTTCTCAGCCTGCAAGGAGCAGAGCTTCACTGGAGCTTCCCTGCTCTTGCACAGGAAGATTTCAGCCTTCCTTTCTTCCTTCCTTCCTTCTGGATGCACAGAGTCCAGCAATGCAGAGTTTGAGATCCATGGGGATGTTCAGAGCTGGTCTCAGAGGCAGCAGGTTGGGTAACCCCCCTAAAACATGGGACATTATCTGACTTAGTCACAGGCACTTGGCTTTTTAACAGCCAGGGTTTGGGTACTATGAAGCACTTGATGGCAAATAGAGGATTCTAATCAAATCTGTGTCATCTGCCTGTATCAGACTGCCTCATCTCCTGCAGGTGGGTTTATGGGGTGATGCATTGCTCCAGGTCAGCTTCTTTGGGAGGAAGAGATTTGTGAGATGTCATTCAGATTTGTGAGATGGCCCTCTGAGAGGGAGTTTTGGTACCTCAGATATTTTAAACTTGTTTGACCATGGAGTTTCCCCTCCTACCTCATTTTAAACAGTGCCCAGGACCTGGACTTGCATAGAAAAACACTGCCAGTAAATAGCCTGAATCCTGAAAGTCAGCAAATCCCAACTACTCTTTGCTTTTTGTTTAATTAAATTTTCCTTAGGTCCTATGCACATCTGCTATTGAAGAGAGTTAATATCCCAACCAACAGTTGGGTAAAAAACATTTCTGGTGGAAAACAATGAAAGAGGACTTTGCTAAAAAACATAAAACCCTCTTGCTTGGTTCTTAAGAAAACTTGAGCAATTAAAACTCTCAGCAGGCTGCTCTTTGATTATCCACTACAATCCTTGTAGAGGAGCAGCACCGAGGGCTGCTGCATCCCATAGCAAGGGATTTGAGATGAAAGGATGGAGTCTCTAAGTAAAGAGGATGAAGAGGCAGGAGCTGAGGCTTTTGTTAATGATGTATTGTTTTAATATCCCGAATTTCAAGGATCACTTTTTGTTATTTGATTGAGATGACTGGACTGCAGAGCAGTTTAATGAGAGCATCGCTGCCTGGGACAGAGCTGGCAGAAACGCCTGAGCGGCCTGACAGCTTCACCCTTCCCCTTTGCTTCAATAAGAATACGTCGGGAAA